GGCGGAGGTTGCGGTGAGCCGAGATCGCGCCATTGCACTCCAGCCTGGGTAACAAGAGCGAAACTCCGTCTCAAAAAAAAAAAAAAAAAATTAGCCAGGTGTGATGCTGGGCACCTGTAATCCCAGCTACTTGGGAGCCAGGAGAATCACTTGAACCAGGAAGGCAGAGGTTGCCTTGAGCCGAGATCACACAACTGCAGTCCAGCCTGAGTGACAAGGGCAATACTCTGTCTAAAACAAAACAAAACAAAAACCTTATGACTCATCCCCTGCCCTTTACGGGGCTCTCAGTCACATAAACAGGTGAGACTGGCAGCCAGGTGGGCTCCACCTAAAATGAAGCCAGCTCAGGGCAGCCCCACACCCAGCCCTCAGGAGCAGCAGCCATGTCCCTCCCTCCTTCAGCCGCTCTCCCTTCACGCAGAACCCAGTCCCCATCTCTGGGACTCTGTGCTCCAGGAATGTCTCTAGACTTCATCCTCTCCTGATCTGCCCTCTTCCCTCGCCTAGTTCAGGCCACCATTGCCTTTGTCTGGACCAGTCCAGTTGACTTTCTCCCGGGTTTCCTGCCTCCAACTCTGTCCTCTCTGATCTGTGTCCACTGGGGCCTGTTTGTCTGTTTTACAGGTCCCTATGGGACATCCAGGCTGACCTCCAAGGGCACCAGGAGTTCTGGACAGAGATCTAGGCTGGAAATAGAGATTTCAGAGTAGCATATAGATGAGCTCATAGATACAGGAGAGAGAAAAGAGAGAGAGAGGGTGATCGGTGGTCTTATTTTCTCTCTCCAACACAGATTCCTCTCCAGCCCATAGATCTAATGAGATCCCAAAGGCACCTCGGGTCAGCCTGGCCCAAACCGACCCCTCCATTTCCACACACATGCCACTGCTCTTCCCCAGGCTTCCTCCATGGGGCTTGGCATGCCCTTCCGCCCATTTTTCCAAGCCAGACCTTCGGTACCCCTCAGCCTTCCGACCTCCCCACTCCCACGTTGAATCCTTCCCTGAGTCCTGCGGCTGCTGCTCCTGAACGTCCCCCTTGCTCCTTTCCTCTGCCTTTTGGCGGCATTTAACGTGGTAGGTCACTCACTCCCTCTGGAAGCCATTTCTTCCCCCAGCCTTGAGGACATCCCTGCTCCTGGCTCATTGGCTATCAGCTGATCCCCTGACTGGAATCTAAATATCTGTCTTTTTTTTTCTTTCAGAGATGGTGGTCTCACTACATTGCCCAGGCTGGTCTCCAACTCCTGGGCTCAAGCAATCCTCCCACCTCAGCCTCCCAAAGTGCTGGGATTACAGGTGTAAGCCACTGTGCCCAGCCTGGTTCTGCCTTCCCTTCTGGAGCCACTCTTTCTCTCTAGTGGATCCCGTTGAGCACTTTGGCTTCAAATTTGGGATCACCCCCAAACTATTACCTGGAGATGGGGCCTCTCCTCTGCAGTCCAGACTCATATATCTATTAACTGGCAGCTGATGTCTCCGCCAGGACTCAAATGGGCACCCAGAACTTCAACTCCAAGCCCACCCTCTTAAGCCCCAGCACTGAGAGTAGAAAGGACAGTGAGCTCAAGCCCATCGGTGCCAGCCAACTCTTCCTTCCCACTTGGGTTCAGACCTCATCATCTCTGGCCCCGATTACGGCAAAGGCAGGGAAGGACAGCCAGGCAGAGGAGGCTTTCTGTGCAAAGGCAGGAAGGGGAACAAGGTTATGGCTTGGTCAGAAGCCTAGAGTGTGTTGTGGGGCTCAGATAGCAAATACCTTAAATATAAGGCTTGGACTTTGTCCTGAGAGCAATAGGGAGCCACTGAAAGGTTAAAATCTGCTGGGCGCAGTGGCTCACACCTGTAATTCCAGCACTTTGGGAGGCTGAGGCGGGTGGATCACCTGAGGTCAGGAGTTCGAGACCAGCCTCACCAACACGATGAAACCCCATCTCTACTAAAAATACAAAAATTAGCCAGGCGTGGTGGCAGGCGCCTATAATCCCAGCTACTCGGGAGGCTGAGGCGGAAGAATCACGTAAACGTGGAAGGCGGAAGTTGCAGTGAGCCAAGATTTCACCACTGCACCCCAGCCTGAGCGACAGAGTGAGGCAGGGGAATAGCTTGAGCCCGGGAGGTGGAGATTGCAGTGAGCCAGGATCGAGCCACTGCACTGCAGCCTGGTAATAGAGCAAGACTCCATCTCAAAAAAGAAAAGAAAAAGGTTAAAATCCAAGGGGAGCACATTTGTTTTTACATTTCTGTCACACCTTCATTCATTCCTTCCCCCATTTACTTCGTCTGTCAACAAATAGCCACTGAGCACCCTCTATTAGAAAGTGACTCTGAGGCCAGGCGTGGTGGCTTACGCCTGTAATCCCAGCACTTTGGGAGGCCGAGGCAGGCGGATCACGAAGTCAGGAGATCGAAACCATCCTGGCCAACATGGTGAAACCCCATCTCTACTAAAAAATACAAAAATTAGCTGGGCGTGTCGCGCACGCCTGTAGTCCCAGCTACTTGGGAGGCTGAGGCAGAAGAATTGCTTGAACGCGGGAGGCAGAGGCTGCAGTGAGCCGAGATCCCACCACTGCACTAGAGCCTGGCACCTGGTGACAAAACGAGACTCTGTCTCAAAAAAAGAAAAAAAGAAAGAAAGTGACTCTGAGACAATGGAGAATGTCCGGAGGGGCAGGGCTGGTCGGCAGAGAGATCAGTGAGAAAGAGATGACAAAGCCCAGCCCAGGTGAACGATGCATCTTCCCAGGGCAGTGGACACGGAGAGGAGCAATGAGCTGAGATCATCCAGGTTCCTGGCTTGGGCATTGGAGGACATAAGTAAGGTGTGAGAGGTGCCGAGCCCAAATCCCAGAGTGATGGAGTCTATGGTGGGAAGAGCCAGTCCTTCCTTCTGGGGACTCTGAAAACCTCCTTGGGAGTGGTTTGATCTGGGTTTTAAGAGAAGAGTAGGCCAGGCATGATGGCTCACGCCTGTAATCCCAGCATTTTGGGAGGCTGAGGCAGGCAGATCACCTGAGGTCAGGAGTTCAAGACCAGCCTGGCCAACATGGTGAAATCTCATCTCTACTAAAAATACAAAAATTAGTGGGGCATAGTGGTGGGCGCCTGTAATCCCAGCTACTCAGAAAGCTGAGGCTGGAGAATCGTTTGACTCCGGAAGGTGGAGGTTGTAGTGAGGCGAGATGGCGCCATCGCACTCCAGCCTGGGCATAGAGTGAGACTCCGTCTCAAAAAAAAAAGATAAGGGGAATTTAAGGAGAGCACAGAAAGATGAAGTATATGTGGGTGGGGGTGGGGGGGGGACATTCCAGAGTATATTTCTTGGAAAAAAGTCACTAAAAGGAGGTCCCAGGGGACACTTATGGGGTGCAAGAGGAAAGGGAGAGAATCTTCAGGATTCTGAGGAAGAGGCACATTCCTTTCTCATTTAAGAAATTGATTCAGGCCAGTTGCAGTGGCTCACGCCTGTAATCCCAACAGTGGGAGGATCACTTGAGTCCAGGAGTTTGAAGGCCAGCCTGGGCAACATGGTGAGACCCTGTCTCTATGGAAAAAAAAAAAAAAGTTGGGCATGATGGTGTGCACTTATATTCCCAGCGACTTGGGAGGCTGAGGTGAGAGGATCACCTGAGCCCAGGGAGGTCAAGGGGCCACAGGGTTGACTCAGGG